TATTAAAGCTGATCATTTGAAGGTTTACTGGCATCAAATGTGAATTTTTTTCTGAGTGTTTTATCTATGCTTGCAAAGTGACTGCAGTAAATGAAAAAACATGTCCTTAGAAGATGTGCCAAAAAGAAAGAGAAAATATATCAAAATGTCAAAATTTCACACAACTTGTCTTTTTAAGACATGAAGCGTTTGAAGCCAATATCCCAAAGTCTCTTCGAGTYTCTGCAGGAAAAAAAAACACTATAAAAACTCTGTGTTTCAAGAATTAAGATGTTCTCTTACCACAGAAGGGATCTCAAGACTGACTGTCAACTGAAAAGTTTCTACTCCATCCAAACCATTCTTTGAGAAAATGTTAGCTTAAGACAAAAGAATAATTACCAAGGAAGACTGGCCGGGGGGTCAAATGTATGACTGCAGTGGGAACCTGGACATCCACATCAGCAGCTCTCTGCAGTGACGTGCTCCCTGTCCTCAGCTGGGTTCCAACAGCAGCTCAGATACTCATCTCTTCCCGTCCGCTCACACTTCCTCCCGCTCGCCTCACTCCTCCCAGGAAGACAAAAGGGGATGGGCTGTGAGGGAACACCACATTATGCTTCAGGCAGGAGAATAAACACCAGTGAAAAGTTGCAGCACAACAGAGGGGATGATTTGTGTTGCGTTTGGGTGTGAGTGTGAACTGAGAGGAGGAAGTTTGTGTGGACTCTTTGTACTAATCACACAACTTGAATGGATATAAAAAAGGAGTCAAAAGGAGAGTAAAGATCTAAGTTCTTTAAGACTGAAAAATGATTTAAAAATATCACGATGGCCAATTCTTTCCTCTTGTAATCACTGAAGAAGCAAAACATTGCATGACAATTATTTTTCAAGTTACTGGAAAATGATTCATGACACCATTTAAGGAAAATGCCRTGAGACGAAAAACAGACCCTATCTGGTTGGCATCAAAAGTTGATAGTTTTGATTTCAAGTTTTATATAGAACCTGTCTCGTAAACAGTTTACGTTACCAAAAAAACAGACTCGGATGCAGTGGATGTAGGGCCAGTTAGCTACAGACTAAAAAAAAAAAGCTTGACAAGATGGAAAGCCATCATTATAGGCAATAAATAAATAAATGAAAGTCCATATTTGCTAATCTACAACGTGTTGAGAACCTTTTATAAGAGGTTTAAGTGGAATGTCAACAAAAATCTCTGCCATTCTTCCTGATAAGATCATGAAAATGAAGCAGGCAGTGGGAACAATGTAGAGCATGAAGTAACCCAGCCTGGGGCTCATGCTGTAGAGTTCATGTGAAAAATTATGAAGTTCATCCGTGTAGGTATTTCTTCTATTTTTAACTGCCACATATTGTASTTGCCAAAAAAACAGGACTAATATGAAACCTCTAGTATTTGGGACTGTGTACACCAACCTCTAAATATAAACAGAAATTAWGAAAACGTGGTGACAAAGCTTCAAGAAAAAAAATTAATATATATGTGAAGCCTTAATTTTATATTTTACTTTAAGCCATGGTTCACTGATGAGTGATCATCGTCTAATCTGGAGATTAGAGGATTAATCAAACTCGGCTCTCCATTGAGACTAACATATTTACTGGTGCATGACAAGCTTAAAGAGCTCTGCATCCAATATAGGGACTGCAAAAATGTAATAGATTTTGCTCTAGTACTGTGAACACAAAAACCCTGAAGGACCTGAACGAGATTAGCAAGCTTAACGTTTGCCTTATTTTCCCAAAATCAGTGCATCGTGTCGTTTTTTGTAAATCGTATTTCCTTTTTACAGCAGAATGACAGTAGCTTTGTGCGGTTTCGTTCTCTGCTCACTTGTCAAACACACGGTACAAAACCCTATTTGCCAAAACAACCATGGCTTAAAACAAAGTAAAAATTCTTATCACTGCTCACAAAGAATTAAAGGCTTGCAGAATGCTTATAAAACATTCACACTATTGAGGTCCATTTTTCTTCCACACATTTTTTGGCACAAATCTCGTTCCACAACTTTTGAGCCACTTCAACACTATATATCTAAAAGTTCAGCTCCTGCAGGAAATTCCTGCTATGACTTTTGGMATTTCAGCAATTTMTACTTTGAGATATTTAGCTTTTTCAGCCATTACTTCTTTTTGAAAAGTCTTCAGCATCCTTAAARTCCTTCAAAAATGTTCGTAAATCTTTACTGTATTTYTCACCTTTTGTTCTGGTTCTGTTTTTTTAACTTCTTTATACCAATTGCAGCTTCCCTCGACTTTTATTTTGCTGATTTGAGCCGTTTTCTGCCTTATTTTTTGGCTACAGTATCATTCTGAACTTTTCTGCAATTCTTCTGCTAATTTAAATTTTATGCTTCTTTCTGCTATTTTAAGCTTTTATGTTTTWTTCAGCTGTTTTCTGCAAGTGTTGTGATTTTTTAGCTACTTTGAGCTTTTTTTCCCAACTAAATTCACCTTTTTGTGACAGTTTCAGCTTGAGCAAAGGTGCTAAATTCAGCTGTTGCAGCTATGTTTCCGATCTATTTTAAGC